AGAAGAAGCATTTTCTCCAGCGAAAGGTCGAACAGCTCTGTATTCATGAAAGCTACGCAATACGTGTACCGTCACAGTCATTGCCAACAATTTCTTCCAGTATTTATGTGATTGAATGCTTTATTGCAAAATAGGACCTGTGCTCTTTTTAGTACCGGAGATGGACAAAGTGTCAGTTTAGATATGCTTGAATGAGTAAATGGAAGGGGACTTCAGTTGATAAGCCTATACAAACTAACTTGGGACGACTCAGACGGACTTGGAGAGAAGTGACACTATTTCAGGATCACCCACTTCAGCAATGGACAAACAATATATTTTAATAGAGGTTGTTTGACTTTGTTTTCGACTTAGAGCAATACAGCCAGTTCGGAGTCCATTGTATGCATCATCATTTCCAGAGTCGGACCGTGGACGTGGTACATTCCAAGACGTTTCGCCGGCATCGTAGTCGGCATCGTCAATGAGCCTCGCCAGTCTTAGCACCACACAACAACCCCTTAAAGAGATAAGATTAGTCTAAGAATGGCGAGACTCACTGACGATGCCGGCGAAACATCTGTCAATGTACAACGTCTACGGTCCTACTCTGGAAATGGACTCCGGACTAAGTGCGTTCCTCCAAGTTTTCCTAACAATATGACCAAGTTGCAAAAACAAGGTCAAACAATCTTTATACAACGAAAGGAAACTACGACCACACAAAAGGTCACACAATCCTAGTCTTCGTACCTTCAATATATTTTAGTGTCATAACCAGAGGTGAACTCACGCGCCAACTTAAAATGAATACCATAAAAGCAAATATTTTCTTGCCTAGATGGTGAGAGGTAATATCAAATCACGTATACTGTCTGTAAAATGAGAAACGTGATAAGAATGTGCAGAGATTGTTAAGTCGCTTTAATTGCTGGCGGATATCATATTAAAATGACTATATTGCTGTAGGGTCAACTAGTAGCAAGAATCATATAGTATAAAAAATAGAGAGCGTCACATGATCGGGAAATGATTCATTTGCAACTAGCCTTCTGCGGTGTAAGACAAATATAGTAATTGCCAGTCCGCAAGAGTTAGTTGCACCTTTAGGCATCGCAATTAATTGAATAAAAAATGTGAAACGCCCATATGATTAAGATCATATGAATATATGGAAGCCGGAATGCATATATTTGTGAGTAATTTGCAGATCGGATGATAAAGTACATTCTAGAATGACACATTAGATTGCATTCCTCGATAAACCAGGATAAAATACTGTCGCCGTAAAAGCCCCAGGGATGGATAGGATGTGTTTATGCCTATTTTTCCAGCTTTTTATAGAATCGACTCAAACTGAAAAACCGAAAATCATATCAATTAAAATAAACAAGTTATCTCCCTCTGGAATGGAGTATTGGTGGATAAGATGGTGGTAATAAATCACAGGCTTCCGAAACAGCTTTCATTTTGGATTTCACTCTATCCGCCAAATTAACAAGTGAGTAATAGCCAATACAGCAGATATCGACGAGGTGAGCCACATGTTCAGTAGCCACGTAGTACCGACCACTCGTTCACATGCAGGCTCTTAAACGCGTATAATAATAAAATCACACTTAAATACCTACATAGACGCATACATACATACATGCATACATGCATGCACACAAATGAAGTTTTATGCACACATGTACAGTTTGCACGTAAACATGAATACTATTGAGGCACAGTGTTAGCTCTTGAGATTGATACACTGCAACGCAATATTCAAGAATATAGAAAGTAAAATAATATTTATTTTTTAATTGCTCATTTGAATTCTCTTAGCTCCTTCTGCTCCACACAATTCCAATCAGCCTATTTGGAGGGGATAATGGATTCCTATGGCGTGAAACATCGATGACGGTGGATAGTCTATTGACTGACGGTCGCGGCGGCCGGGTAAAACTAATAATCCGACGTCATCTGGACGGAAACACGTTTATTGGACATGGAGACCTACCCGAAGATGAATGGGTTGGTTACCTTCTCTCCTTACATGTTTGTCGATGTTACTTTCATCCGGTTTTCGAGTCATAATGACTATTGACAAACGTAACAGTGCCCACCTTACACTCAGGACCATTCTCGACTTCGGTGTGCATGTCATTATGAACGGAATAGACTTCAATTTAAAAGAAGTGAAGGGGGCTAGAGCTCTTTCTGTACACGTAGAACCATAGACAGGAAAGAAGGTTGTATCCTTAGAGAATTCATGATCCGTCATTTCTTTATGAGAGACATTTCAGCTAATGTTGGCTTAGTTACTAGCGCTTTCAAATCTAGATCTCGTCGTCCGGCCTCAATTAGTCTAAAAATAGCTTTCGGTTGTACTACTTTTCTGCTCAAAAGCAGACAATAAACACTGTTAAGTTCAAGATTCTTAACCTGATATTATTTCTAAGGTTGATATATTCTAATTAAAATTTGACTTCGAGGAATCTCTTGTTTCATAATTATTAAGCTTACTTCCATTTCAAATGAAAGTGCTTAGTGAAGGGATTCAAGGGTCGATTTAACCAGAAGACGACGGCGATTTCCTCGTGACCAGCTGTAAATTGGCATTACTAGAACATTCTTGTTGACGCTGTGTCCAAGGAGATCTCATTCGATTCCGGCGAAAATGTGCTAAGCTTTATTTCATCATATGACGAACATCATCAGAGCAGGCTATCATTTTTACAATCATATTCCAGCTGATGAGTCAAGAAACTCACCAGCTCATCCCTAAAAAGCTGTATATATAAACTCTATATCTGAACTCTTTGATGAGGTGTAAAGGGATTTAGCTAGTTCCAGTCATATGACAACCTCGAAGCATGTTAGTGTGTCTGTATCTGTATGTGTATGTGCTTGAATGTGTTCGAACATGTACCAAACCAGGAGGGATGGCTTGAGGTAATTAGGACAGCAAAAGTAAGGCCTGTTCTTGACCATCAAGGTTTGATGATCACCATCATCCTCTTTCTATATATATATGCTCTAACCATGGCTTCCACTGCGCAAGGTCGAACACGTGTGGTTATGTCGATGAGCGTTT